TTATGTAGTTATTTTATTGTGTATGTAGTGAAACATATAATGCGAAAATATAAAATTGTTTTATTAAAAAATCAAATTAGTTAAGAAAATACAAATAGTGTTTTTTTTTTTTTTTTTTTAAATTTTGATATAACAAACAAATAGTACTTATTTTTCGTGGCACACCGGTGGAGTGGGTCGGTGCCTATTTATTTGTTACTTCTCCTAAATCCTAATTCTACAGACACTGCTTGTTCAAAATATTTAGAAGCCGCGACAGGACAATCTTGCTCGATACTCTTCTCTTCTCCTCCCCAATTCTCCTCTCACAGTTTCAGAATGAGTTTAGACTCGTCTCGCTCTGCAACCTCCTTACCTCCTAATTCTAAACGAACTTTCTCTAATTCTATATCTTCCAATCGCTCCAACGATAACGGTAACAAGATCAACAACAAGAACAAAAAAATCAAGAAGACAACCACTAATCAGAAAACCCTAGGCGTTGCTTGGGGCTCAAATTCTCTCCCCTCCTCCTCTCGAAAATCCGCCTTCTCCGATTTTGGCAGGTTTTTTTTCCAAATTATTATTATCTTCAATTCTTTTCCGATTTCGTTTTCACCCTCGCTTTGTAAATGTGTTGCGCAGAGTCTTCTTTTAAATGTTTTATTCACTCTGTAAATGCAGTTATATGACAGACAAGAATCGTAAACTGCACAACCAGTTTGACGCTGAGGCTTCCACGTCATCGTTTAGTGGCTCTACTTCTGGGAAGCCTTTATTCAGCGGAGTTTCAATTTTTGTTGATGGTTTCACGGTTCCTTCCAACCAGGTTAATCGTTTTTTATTTTCTTTTTTATGAATTCGTGAACATGAGGGAAAGTATGCGACTGGAGCGGTGGGTTTATTAAAATTTAATCACAATTTGGTTGAGATTGTCGTTTCTTGTTTTAGGAGTCGAGTGTAACAAGAGATTGTAAATTGAGTCATCTTTAATTCAAAATTTTCTTTAATTGTAAAAAACAAAGAGACGGCATGACATTAGTATCAAACATGTTTTCAGGAACTCCGGGGCTACATGCTTAAGTATGGTGGAAGATTTGAGAATTATTTCTCAAGACATCGTGTAACACATATCATCTGCAGTAATCTGCCTGATAGTAAAGTTAAGAACCTCAGGTTTGATTTCATGCCCTTCTTTGAATTTCGTGGTTGGAATCCTACTCTATTGCATTACTTAAATTTAATTGTTGGATGGTCCAATACAGAGCCTTCAGTGCAGGGTTGCCAGTGGTGAAACCCACTTGGATTTTAGATTCTGTTGCTGCCAATAGAATCTTGAGCTGTAAGTTTTTGCATTTCTCGTCACTTGTGTTAATTTCATTTTCTTTGGAAAAAATGCCTACGTTGTATTTTGAGAGGAAGAAAAGGATGAGAAAAGAAGATGAAAAGATTATTATATTTCATTCTGCTTCTTGTGATTCAAACTATGCTTTAACAGGGGTGCCTTATCAACTTTACCAGCTTGCTAATAACCAACCAAAACTGTCAGCCTTCTTCACATTGAAAAGTCGTAAAATTCCAGAGGATGCTTGTACAAATGCCCTTGGTCAAGTAGTGTCAGATGTTGAAGATTCATCTATGAGGGTTGGCCAATCAAATTCAGAGGATAGACACTCATGCAAAGTTGGGGAGATGAGTGAACTTAATGGGCAAATCAGTATTGAATCTGATGATATTGTCCCTGAGAATACTAGTGCAATTATGATGGAAGAGCTGACTAGTGCTAGAGTTAAATGTGATGAACAAGAGCATGCAGGAGGAAGTAATGCTGCTACTATAGAAGAGAGAAATGTCGAAAGTGAACTTGAACCCACTCTTCAAGCACCTTCTACATCATTTAGTACTCCTTACTCAGATGAGCAGAATATAAAAGAATTTCCAAGTTCTTCAGCTACTAGGCCATCTAAACAGTGTCATTCAACTCTTGCAGACCCTAATTTTGTAGAAAATTATTTCAAGGTAGTGAAGTTAAAACTTAGAAGAATTTTGAATTTTCATATTGCTTGGTGAAATGGTGACTTTCTTGTTGATGTGGTTTTGTTATAGTAGTCATCTGATTTTTTTTGTACTATTCTGCAAATTATACTGGCAATCAAACATGAGTCAATGATTATTATTTCTTGTATCAAAATATAATGTCTCTTGAACTTCAATGATAAGGTGGATGGAGTGATTACTCATGCGCATTATGTTTTGCGTTTTCTGTATCAGTATAAAAGAAAACAAATCTTTTTATTGGCTCTGTGGATGACATTATTTTGCAATTTCCTGACTGAAGTTTGGTTCATGCAGAGCTCACGACTACACTTTATAGGAACCTGGCGTAATCGGTATCGAAAGCGTTTTCCCATCTTGTCTACTGGGTTTAACAATGAAAATTCTGATATCAGTGCCTCTGATATTTCTCATAATTCAGTCATTATGCATGTTGACATGGTAAGATTTACACACAAAGAGCGTGTTTGTTTTAACGTTGAGAAACTCTAAACGTCTGTTGAATTCAAAGTTACAAGATTCATGAATTGAGTTGAACAGGTATTGGAAAGTGTATTAATGCTAAAACAAACACACACAAAGATGTTGGAAAAAATTATTATTGTCAAATAATTTTTGTTTTTAGATTTTGGAATTTGGATATAAATGTCATTTAACTGTATACTGCCCAGGACTGCTTTTTTGTCTCAGTGGTTATCAGGAACCACCCCGAATTGTTGAACCAGCCTGTAGCTGTATGTCATTCAAATAATTCAAATGGAACTGCTGAAATTTCCTCTGCAAACTACCCATCTCGTAGTCATGGTGGGTTATTTGCCAAGTTATATATGATAATATGACTCAGTCAGCTATATTACTCATTTGTCTTTTTTGGTATGTAATTATGTTTTTGATCACTTGCTAGGTATTAGGGCCGGTATGTTTGTTCGAGATGCCAAGGCTCTTTGTCCCCAACTTTTAATCTTTCCCT